GGGTCACTTACCAGCAGGCAGAATCAGCAGCTCTCCGATACGATGGATGCAACAGGAAGCAGGCAGGCGATGAGGCAGCAGGTAAGCTGAAGACCTTCCCTCATAAAAGCCGTGAGCTGGCGAAAGCTAGCCTCTGCCCCCCGCCGCCGCAGCCCACCTCCTTTTGGCCATGCGCTGTACACCAGCCAGGCGAGACTGGAGACGGGGGGGGGTAGCAGAAAACCTCCTTTCGGCCACGCGGCGTATGCCAGCTCGCAGCTTTCGCGAGGCAAGGCCTAAAGGCCTCCCCTCGGGAAAGCCGTGAGCTGGCGGAAGCTAGCCTTGCCTCCGCCGCAGCCCACCTCCTTTTGCCCATGCACTGTACACCAGCCAGGCGAGACTGGAGACGGGGGGGGGCAGCAGAAAACCTCCTTTCGGCCACGCGGCGTATGCCAGCTCGCAGCTTTCGCGAGGCAAGGCCTAAAGGCCTTCCCTCGTGAAAGCCGTGAGCTGGCGGAAGCTAGCCTTGCCTCCGCCGCAGCCCACCTCCTTTTGCCCATGCACTGTACACCAGCCAGGCGAGACTGGAGATGGGGGATAGCAGGAAACCCCCTTTCAGCCATGTGGCGTACGCAAGCTCATGGCTTTCATGAGGCAAGGCCTGAAGGCCTTCCCTCACAAAAGCCACGAGCTGGCATAAGCTAGCCTCCCACCCCCCGCCACCCCCCCTCGCACTTAGTTGCTTACCTGAGGGAAGCAGCAACCTGCTGGAAGGCAAAGGGAAACAAAACGAAATGAAGGGAGGACCCAGTCAGCAAGCGCGATGCAACAGCTGATCAGGAACAGAAAGACTCTCCCTCTCCCAGGGGGACACTTTGGCTTATCAGGATATTTGTCATGGAATTGCTTTAACAATTTGTCTGCCTTCACATCTCAACTCTTAAATCACGTAACATCAGACAAAGGGTACACTTTCCAACGAACTAAATATTGTAAATGCCCCCTATACAGTTTGGAATCTAAAAAAATTTCACCTCATAATGAGTTTCTCCTTCCACTACTATAGGAGGAGGAAGTGGTTGGGTCTGAGGTCTTAATCTAGACCCAAGGGCTGGATTCAGCAGGCTACAATGAAAGACAGGATGCACTTTCCCTAGACTGCAAGGGAGGCTAAGATAAACTGTTACTGGGTTAATTACTTTCACTATTGGAAAACGACCTAAAAACTTAGGATCATTTTTTCCTAGGCAGCCTCATCCTAGATTTGGTTGATAGGAAAACTTTATCTCCCACATGGAAGAGGGATTGAAGAAAGTGGTACTTGTCTGCTTGGTTTTTATATTCCTCCGCAGCTTCTGGCAGCGCTTTCTTAGTATTCTCCCACCCCTTTTTCAGAGAATCCATCCACTTTGTTAAAGACGTTGAAGAGAGGGGCTGCCAGTCAAGCACTGGATTTTACTTTTTCTGGATCCATTTCTACCTCTCCACTGGATATCCAATAGCCTAGGTCAGGGGCCTGCAACCTTAAACACTCTAAGAGCCATTTGGACCCATTTCCCACAGAAAAGAAAACAACAGGAGCCACAAAACCTAGGTGGGCATGGCCAACATGACACCTCCCAGCCACACCTACCCAGATTTCATGGCTTTGGGTGTTTTCTGTGGGAAATGGGTCTCTCTCTCCCCCTCCCTCCCTCTCATTTCTGTTTTTCTCTCTTTTTCCTCTCCCTTTCTCTTCTTTTTTCCTTTTTCTTTCTTTCCTTTCTTCCTTTTCTTCCTTTCCTTTCCCTCTTTCTTTTTCTTTCTCATTGAATATGATAGCAAATCCAAAATAAAGTTATTAATTGTGAGAATTTGCTTCTCTGTTATCTTTTCACAGTGAACTCTAAGTTGATAGAAGCTGGCAAGATTGTACTAACAGCAATAGCATATATATTTTGATTTCTTTTGAGTTTGACAATATAATACATTATCCAAAATTATACATAATCATATTTTCATATGCATTTTTGCCATCTCTGTTGTTTCCTTAAAAAAATCAGACTTGCTTTCAATTTGTGCCTTCTGGCAAACTGTAATTTTTTTTGGCAAGAGATCTAGCTTGCCATTGCTTTTGTCATAGGTCTGAGAGACTTACTTATTTACTTTCTTTCTTTCTTTCTTTCTTTCTTTCTTTCTTTCTTTCTTTCTTTCTCTTTCTCTTCCTCCCTCCTTCCCTCACTTTCTCTTCCTTTCTCTCCCCCTTCTCTCTCTCATTTGTTCCCCTCTCTTTTCCTTCTCTCTCATTCTCTCCCTCCAGCTCTCTTTCATTTCTCTCTTCCCCTCTCCCTCCTTCTCTCTCTTTCAATTGTTTTTCTATTTTTCCTCTCTCTCAT